GACGGAGGCCGAGCGCGACCGCATCAAGGCGGACCACTACGGCCGGCTCAACGACAAGTTGGCCAACATGACGGTGTACAGCCCCCCGCCCACCAACCTGCAGGGCCGCTGGGGGGACCTGGTGGAGCCCCAGGCCCGGGTCACCTCCTGGGATACGGGCGTCCCCGTTCCGCTGCTGCGCTTCGTCGGAGCCAAGTCCGTGGACGTCCCCGAGCACATCCGCTTGCACGGCCACCTCGTCAAGACCCACGCGCAGGTACGGACTTTCGCGTGAAACGATATAACCGTGGGGCGTACGTGCCGGCGGCGATGGGAAAAAACGAAGCTTCGCGAAGCACTCGTGGTCTCTTTTGACTCCTCGAGATGGTGCTCTTGGTTGAAATATCAAGGTGAGTGCAATGGAAAGGTTTCTTTTTTTTCCAATTCCTCTCTAAGAATGCCATCTCAAAACCGATCACAAGCGCTTCATGAAGCTTCAGCTGTCCATCACTACGTCCCAGACCCGCCTGCACTTGGGGAAAATCTGGGCCCGAGAGAGCCCAGAGATGCCCCAAGAAAGAAAGTCCCTCGCACGTGAAAGCCATTTCAACTTGTGAAAACAGCCACTGCAAAGACACGCCCATTGAAACCAGGTTTTGTCCGCGTGCTCAGGCCCGACTCCAAAAGCTCGAGGAGGGGACCAAACTGGACTGGTCCACGGCAGAGGCTTTGGCTTTTGCTTCACTCCTTTGCCAAGGTGGGAAATCAGTTCGCGGCGGACCGTTCTGTCTCGTCCGGTCGTTTTGTTGTACAGTATTTAGTTTGTTTTTAGGGTGGTTTTGTTTCGGTTTTTCACCAAAATGCTTTGGTTTTAGTTTTTAGGAGTTGAAACAAATTTGTTTGCAGAATCGTGGGACCTCACGCTAAGTATCGTGTCGTAAAAACTCAAGAAAAATGTGACGGTAGTTTAAAAGCGACACGACTTTTTGGCGGTTCACGACGGTCGAGCTGTCAAACCGGCAGATAGGTATCGTCGCGAGACGCGGTCGCACGTCGAGGCCGCCGCCAATCGCATCTGACGCCATCGTTGCAGGCTTCAACATTCGAATCAGCGGGCAGGACGTGGGCCGCGGCACCTTCAGTCAGCGGCACGCCATGGTGGTGTGCCAGGACACCAACGACACCTTCGTTCCTTTCAACCACATCAGCCCCGAGCAGACGGGCTTCCTCGAAGTACAAAGACGACACGCACGGCCGCCGCCGCCGTTTGAAGCGCGGCGTTTTGTTGACGGCGAGGTCTCGGCAGGTATGCAACAGTCCGCTGTCTGAGGAGGCGGTGCTCGGGTTCGAGTACGGCATGAGCATCGCCCAGCCCAAGCTCTTGCCCATCTGGGAAGCTCAGTTTGGAGATTTCTTCAACGGCGCTCAGATCATCATTGACACCTTCATCTCAGGAGGTAGGGCCTCGCCGTTTGGCAGATGCTCGGCGCGCCTCTCGGGATGTGACCCGTTGCCGTTTTCAGGCGAGGCCAAGTGGCTGCTCCAGTGCGGGTTGGTGATCCTGCTGCCTCACGGCTACGACGGAGCCGGACCGGAGCACTCCTCCTGTCGCGTGGAGCGCTTCCTGCAGGTGAACGCAAAAAGCAAACAACAATGCCACGCTGCCGGCTCCTGCGCCCCCAGCGGCGACCTGCTTCACCTCTTCAAAAGCAACCGCTGTCACGCTGAAATGATACAATTGGACAAAGCGCCACGTGTCGGCGCGCGACGGTCGCTTGGCCTGGCCTCGGCCGACCGCCGCCTTCCGATTTCACGCGCCCCTCCCTCCCGCTGCCCCTGTGCCCTCAGATGTGCGACAGCGAGGAGGGGGGCGTGGACGGGGACACGGTCAACATGGCGGTGGTCAACCCCACCACATCGGCGCAGTATTTCCACCTGCTCAGGCGGCAGATGATCCGCAACTTCCGCAAGCCTCTCATCGTGGTCGGACCAAAGATGTTGCTGCGATTTCCCGTGAGTGGCGCCGTTGCTCTTGGACCGATGCCAAAGTCCACTTTTTTTTGGGGGGGGGCGACGGTTGTACACTGAGATGACTTGTTTTTGTTTTCTTTTTTTGAAGGGGGCTGCGTCGAGTTTGACGGAAATGGCGCCGGGGACATCGTTCAAACCCGTGTTGGGGGATACGTCCGTCTCGCCCGACAAGTAGAAAACCCTCCCGTGCACTAACGTCGTGGCACCTTGGCTCACTTTTTTTGTTCTTTGCGGGGTTCTTTTGGAATGAAAATGGGATTCTGATGCATTCAGACGCAGAGGCGGTGAAACTTGCGAGCCAAGCTACCACCGTCGCAACATGGCTGATATTTGTCTTTGTTGATCTTGGCTCCAAGGCTGTTTTTGTCGCCCCCCCTCCCCCTCAGCGTCCAGAGAGTGGTGCTGTGCTCTGGCAAACACTACTACGCCTTGCTGAAGCGGAGGGACGCCGCGGCCAAGCAGGACTCGGCGCTCATCCGCTTGGAGGAGCTGTGTCCCTTCCCGCTGCAGGCGCTCCAGATGGAACTCAACAAGTATCCCAACGCTAAAGGTGCGTGCCTCCGCGCCGCGCCGATGCTCGCAGCATCCCGCCTCCCTCCCGCTCCTTTGATGAACATGAGAGAGGCGGTCCTAATATGGGGTTGGCCGAATGGGCCGATGTCCCAGGTTGGGGGCGTGGTGCAATTTTTTTCCCAACTCATTCAGTACCAGCCAATTGTAGACCAAGTCTGAAAAGACGTTTAAAATCGTCTTTGGGAGTGAATGAGTTAATTTTCGAAAACATCCAGTTACTCCACCACCAGCAGCACACAGACGGAGTCCCGATTTCAAATCGGTCTGCCTCCGCAGAGTTCATCTGGAGTCAGGAGGAGCCTCAGAACATGGGCCCGTGGTCTTTCGTGGCTCCCCGCTTTGAGAAGCAGCTGTCCTGCAAGGTGAGCCTCGTTTCCCCTCCCCAAAAGCCCCCCCCCTAAAAAAAAAGTGACCTTTTTCTGTCCTCCGCAGCTGCGCTTAGTAAGCCGACCCGCGCTGCCCGCCCCCGCCGTGGGCATCGGCACCCTGCACAATCAGCAGCAGGAGGCCCTCCTCACCGCCACCTTCTCGTAAAAAGAAAAAGCAGAATGACTCGCCCGCCGCCTTCACAGCCGTGACCAACTTTGAACAGAAATCGCATCTTCGGGTGGCAGGCGATTATGGACATGAGCTTTTCGTAGGCTTTTTTTTTTTTTTAAATCATCCCTCGCAACATGTTTTCGGTGTACGTCGCGAATCAATCTCAGTCAAGGCCTCGGAGATGTTTCCAAACCAATGATGGCATCGGCGACGGATCATTGGTCATACCGCCGATCAAGAAATGAACGCAAATCGCAATCGTTTTCGCCATAGCGAGCATCAATGACAAGAGAAAAAACTAAGTGCAGAGCGCAACTTCCTCACAGTCCTGAGCTTCGGCGTGGGAACTCTCCTTCGTGGGTGGGGTTGGCATATCATCTCGCCCTCGCCCTCGAGTGCGGTTTCCTCCCAGTTTCCCAAAATATGAACGCCGGGTTCATTTAACATGCAGCTGCTGCCCAAAAGAACGTTTGCATTTTCAATCATCAAATGAGAAACTGGAACTTCTTATTCGGGGTATGACATTTGAACACTTTCGGATCACCGAAAATGTCTTGGTGCGAAGCGTGGACTGGACATGCGGGATGAGAAGCGACGACTTGACGATGTGTTGTGACTTAACCGTGCCGTCGGTGATAAAAAAAAAATCTCACATCACACAAGCGCTCGTGTAAATAAAACAAATTGGGATTTGGAAAAAGTGGCATTTTGAGCAAGTAAATCTATTTTTGTGCTTATGGCTTGTGTAGCGTTTTTTTGGGGGGGGTGGGGGCACCGTGAAGGCGCCTTGGGAAAGAGTGTTTAACTTTGTTTTCAGATCCATCTTGTCTAATTGTGTTAATTATGGTGAGAATGGCGAATTTAATGAATGAAAGGTGGCTGAAATGTAACACCTGCAGTACACTCCGCCGCCACGAGGGGCACCGCGATTTCTTCCCCTGTTTTTGTTCTTGATAAAATTAAAAGCCCAAAGAGGCGAGAAACCTCTGAAATCAGTCCTGAATTGGAGACCCGCTACAGTTAAGTAGTTTTTAGTAGGTTAACTTTTTTAAGTACACAATGCAGCTTTGTGATGTAAACGAATCTCAAAATCAACACGGGAATTGCGAGGAATGCGTCGTAAGAAAACTAACTGCAGTGGAGAATGGCATCAACTAAAAATGGATACCCTTGCACGCCGAGCTCCTCGACTAACTTAACCCCTTTTAAATGCAATTTTAAACACCAATTCGGTGTTGTATCCTGGTCATTTGATAAGCCGTGACGAGTTCGTCCTGATTTGAGCCTCGCAGTGGATCTGGCCAAGTTGAACAGACAGGAAGTGGCAGGAAGAAGTTGTAGGGAAAAACAAAACCCCCCCAAAAAGGTGGACATGTCACACGCAGTGCTCTTGAAGTCTCCGGTCCTCTTTGGAGGAAGTTTGTCAGCTTGGGAGCAGAGCACGGGTGGAGTTGAAGCCTTCGGCCTTGTCCTCGTCATTGCAAGGAAAACTCAGGTGGCTCCGCCGGGCCGGGCGCATCGCAGAAAAGGGAAGAAAAAGGTTCTCTGAGAAATGAAACCAGGTCAAAAGAAGCCTGTTGCCAGAAGAAAAAAAGTTGCAACCCAAACTGACTCACTGACCATTGGATATAGTTTTGTCGATTTTCAATCATTTGTTTCACCTGAATTAATGAAATCCAAATATTGACGACACTTCTCGTAAGCCCAAAACTCTGCTGGGAACCGTTTGCAGCTGCGTCCATTTTTATTGGCATTGCGGGGCAGTCGCGACTGAGCCCGCCCGGCGACAGGTGCCCACCATGCAGTGGACGTCGCTCAAATAGGGAAGGAAGCCAAGAGAAGGGGCGTTTGAGGATGCACCTGCCAGCCCGAACGCTCGATGAAGACCGGGAGGACCCGCGGACCGACCGCCGGCCGCTGATTTGGTGCAATGCGAACACTTCAGCGACACGCGCAACTCCTCCTCCACTTTCGACGCTCTCTTCCTGCTTCCTCCTCCTCGGCGGCGGCGGCGAGAGGGAGAGGCACAATCGGAGCCAGGGCGTCACCGAGCGTCCTTCCACCTCCCCCGTATCACCACCAGCGGCCTGGGGAGGCGACACGAGAGGAGGAGAGGGAGGAGGACGGGGAGGAGGAGGGACACCGCGTTTCCTCCGTCACGCGGCGGATTAGCCGGCTAAGAAGCTCGGCAACATTCATCCCTTTGAAGCGCGCGGAGCTCCAGACGCCGCTTTGGACCCGGCTCGGCCTCAGCTCACCCCCTCCGTCGTCTTCTGCTCGGACACATGGCGAAAGAGAACGGCGAGTCCGGCGACGGGTCGTGGAAGAAACACGTCGACGACATCAAGAGTGCGTTCGACTTTAAAGAAGTCCTCGGAACGTGAGTGAGCATCGTCGCGTCCATTTTGTCTCTTCGGCGGCAAACTTTGGCCGCTGTCTCTCAATCGGCACGCGCGTGCGCAAAGGCGCCACAAAAAAACGCACGTCTTCGATCGACAGCTGTTGAATGAACGTCGGATGAAATGGACAGGTCACGTGACGACCTTCATCGGACGTTCTCGCTGAACGGTTAAAAGATCCCGCCGTTGTGACGTCACGACGTTCATTTTTTTTCCTCTCCCAAACGCGCAGTGCAAACATCAGCGGTTGTCTCTTCAAAAACTTGTCATCATTATGAACGATGTGAGCATATTCACTCATTCCCTTCTCGCTAATCGTTCTTTACCTTCTGGACTACGTAGTTGATTCAAAAGTGCCCCCCACCCCTCCAAATAGTACCTCGCCTGTTTGTGTTTATGTGTGACTGTTCATGATGTCGCTCCCGGAAGTCAATGCTGATATTTCTATGAGCCCGTCACTGGGATTTCCACATGAGTTTCTCATCAGTCTCTCTCGAATTCAAACATACAAAGTGTGTACAGTATTTCTTGTCGTGTCATTAAATATGTTAAATCACGCTCAGGGAGGATGACATTCATGATGGGGGTGCGACATGACCGCAAAATTCGATATCATTTTTCTGGGAAAGAGCTGAAACAAAACAGTGTTGGCGTTTTGTTGATATTAGATTAGATTAGATTAGATATCCTTTATTTGTCCCACACTGGGTGTGTGGGATATGTTCAGAATTAAGGAAGTTAGGACATTTGAAAGGCTTCAATGAGGGGTCAAAAATGTCGGTAGCTTTGGCCATTGTTCCAATCGAATGGCCGGTGACCGAGCGTCAGTGCGGAGCGATGCGCGGCTCTCGAGTCAGAGCAAAGAGAGAAAACGTTTTGAGTCCGGCTCAGCCTCGGGAACGACGACGTGTACCATCGAAGCTGCCCGATCGTCGGTTGCCTGCGGGAGATTCCCGCACCGTCGCCGGCCGCTCAAACAAGCGTTTACAGAGTGTAGTTGTCATGGCAACCCTTCGAAAACGATGCGGGCGACGCGCGTTCTTCGGCAACGCACAAATTGTGGGTAGCGCTCGGGATCGGGCGATTAAAAATAAATCCAGCTCGCTTTCAACGCTCTCTGGGCGGTCAGAAATGAGCCATCTCGCCGTCAAAGTCCTCGGTGAAAATCAGCAAAGCGAAAAGGCCAGAGGACATTCCACTGCGCGTCGCATCGAAAAAGAGATGCGGAAAAGCCATTTTTTCACAAGGCGCAGCTCGTTTGAGAGCAGCGCAAAACGGCGTCCGGCGACACGGGCTTGCACGCAAAATGGCGGAAACCGGTCCGTTGTCACAGACTTGCAAACAACACCCGGCGCCATTTCTTTTCGGCCCATGATTCTTCTTCCTGATGCATTTCACCGAGTGCCAATGACAGGAGGGTTTTTTGCTCTTTGCGGGCCCGTTTGCCCACCAATAGCTCAGGTCGACGGTAAATGTTGCTTTTGGCTTCCCGCAACGCGTGGTGTGGCGCAATGCGGTTCATGCATGCGATTACAAGGCCGTGAATCCTTGTTGTCTGATGTGTGTTTGTTTCTCCGGTTTCACACCTTTCACTGATTTCCCGGTGAAGGAATTGACGATGCGCATGAGAAGATTTGGAGCTCCGTTCAAGTGTCGGATTTGTTCGGCTGACACAAGTCGCAGTAGTTCTGAGCGGCCAAACAAAGCGGCTTGAACTTCGTCCGAAACTGACCAATTGACTCAGCGCTTCTACGACCTCCGAGGCTTTTTTTTTTCTTTTCTTTTCTTTTAGTCCAGAATGTGAGACTTTAGCCGCCCGTGTCGCCTCTGTTCCTTTCTCCGCCCGAAACGCTCCCGAGGCACATCTCGCGTCAAGCCGGCGCGCGTCCTTGGATGGAGCCTGAATGGCGCGCGAGCGGCAGCTAGGCAACAAGGACCATGGAAGTCCTCGGTTGCTACCTTCCAACGCGTCGCCACCACCTACGCCGTCCACGCTTTGTCACGCTTCTTGAATCATTTGGCAAAATGCGCGTTGAATGACGGGCCCGCTTTTGCAGTCGTCTGGGGGGGGGTCTGCCTCCGCCGACTCGGATTTAGTGACAAACTTTTGTGTCAGAACATGGAAAGTAGCCTGACAAAGTCCAGCGCGTTTGTTGGTCGCGAGGTCCACACTGCAGTGTCTGGAAAGGTGCCTGAGATCTGCTTTGTTTAGGTGGGGGGGGCAAGAAAAAAAATGTCCGTTTTATGTCCTACACAGCTGCCATTTCAAACATGATTTGTTTTTTTTTTTCCCCCTGAAGGTGAAAAATAATCGCAGTTGGTCAGCTGCTACTTCCGGCTGCCAGTCGATCACACGCACACAAAAAAAGTGACATTTGTCTGCTCATTTGACGCGTATAATCGATGCGATTTACGGAAACGCAACCGCATCTCTTTCAGCCGGCTCAGATCAAGCCCAAAAAACCTGACCCGGAAGTTGGAAGCCACTTTGTGTCCACGCAGGGCCAAGTGTTGATATCTCGGCGTGAAGATGGCCCGCCCTGCCGGAGGCGGCGCATTGAAATGACGCTCGGAAGCAGTCGCAAGCGGCCGGCGAGCTCGCTGCCTTGAACTACGTTTCCGCAATACCGCGCTCGCGTCTCAGGTGGGCGAGTGACGGCTTGCGTCTCAAACGGCTCCGAAGTCGGGTCAGTCGTATCTCAAGGCACCGCCTCAGTCCAGGTTGGAGTGTTCGTTCACAAAGAAGAAATCAATCTGATGCGCTCGCCGTCAGCACCTGTTCAACTTTTATCAAGCTATCTTTAGATTAAAGGGGTCGGGGGGGGGGGGCGCGGTAAAACCTTTATTTTTGGAAGCGCATTCCTCCGCTACCGTCCTCATGACAGCGCTTGATGAAAATATAAAGCTGACGCACGCACTCACGGCCACTTTTCGCTTGGAGGCTCGCAATCTCACACGGTCGCCTCGCGTCCGAACCAAAAAGACGACGAAGGTCCGGTGCCGCGTGTCAGGTGAGCCGAGCCAATTGGGGCGGAGGTGGCCGCAACGCGCCTCCCCCGACGCGAGGGCGCGTCGCTCGCAGTGCGTGAGCGGCCTGCCGACGCCCCCGTTTCCGTCAGAAGAAAAAGAACCAATCTCACCGCAAGCGCTCGGACCGCTCTTCAGCGCACTTTTGAGCGGCCCGATCATTGCAAAAGACTTCATTTGGCCCAGTCAACTGCAACGGAAGACTGTCCTCCTTCCTCTCTTTGAGAGGGCAGGTAAAAAACAAAAAAGAAAAAGGATCACCCGGCATCAATTCCTCTTGTCACGCGGCGGCGGGGATGGAAACGACAAGCCCGCCCAAGAAAACGTGGATGCGGTCTCATAGCAACGCATGCCAATCGCAATCGACGACACACACACACACGCTCAGTTTTTTTTTTTTTTCGGTCAGTGTTTGTCCTGCCTTAAACCAACACGGCAGACCGGCGGACGTTGCCCGACGGAGACCTTGCCGCTTCTGTGTCAACATTCCCAATATGGCGGCGCACTTTTGCCCGAGTGTCACGTGCGCAAGCGCCGCCCGACCTTGCCGAGCGAGCGGCCCGAGCGCGGCCGCCGCCACCGCCGCGTTTTGTCATTTCTCAAGAGCGAGCGAGCGAATCGTTTGGCGGAGCTTCGCTTCTCTTTACTTTCTTACACGAGAGCAGCGGGGCCGAGCGGCCTTCTGGGCCACCCCCGTCGGCGCCGAGGGCCGCTCGGAACGCAGATGGTGACGTGCCAACGCGGCGTGTGACCAAGGGCCTCCGATGGCGTTCAAAACGCAGGACTTCCCAAGTAAACGGCGGGTCGGCCGTCGGCGGTCTGTCACTTTGCAAAGCCGACGACGCGTCTGATTGCCGATCCTTGTTGATTTTGAATTTGTCCGGCCCGCAGCGGCGCGTTCTCCGAGGTGGTGATGGCGCGGGAGAAGGCGACGGGAAAGATGGTGGCCATCAAGTGCATCCCCAAAAAAGCGCTCAAAGGCAAGGAGATGAGTCTGGAGAACGAAATCGCCGTGCTGAGGAGGTAGGACGACGTGCGCCCGCGCCGCATCTCGCCGACGGAATCGCGCTTGCTTTTCAATCGTGGACCGTTTTGCTCACGATTGCTGTTGTCGATTCTTTTGACTCCATTCAGGCCTTTCTATCCATGAACAGCAAACGAATGATGAAAACACATTTTTTTTTTAGTCCTGTTTTGTTTTTGGGGGGGTGAGCTGACCCGGCAGACCCACCTTTGGCATCCTTGCTGTGCTTTTTTTTTTTTTTTTTTGCTCGCGCTCTCTCTCCAGCTGTTTGTCACTCGCTTATTTGAAAACAGGCTCATTGTTATTATCGGAAAGAGCAAAGTATCACGGAGAGCCTGATGGGAATGGGCAGCCCGTTCCGTCCTCGCGAGGGGAGCTCACGTATGCGCCGCCGCTCGCCGAGCGTTGAGTCTAGTTGCTTGGTTACGGTTGCCATCCTCCCGCGTTGGCCGCTTTTCATTCTCCTCTGCCTTTCCTCCCCTTTTCTGTCTCTTGGTCTTCTGACGGCCTTTGTGTGAAAGCGGGGGCCTCGTTTAGTGTTGCACGCGGGAACCCCCCCGCATTCACCCAAAAAAAAAAAAAAATACCCCCCCCAACCCCCACTATCGATGAGCAGGGCGTGTTCTTAACAAAGTGCATCTCATCTTGTGTTCCGCAGGATA